AAGAGAATAAGCACAGATCCCAATAAGGCCACCATCATTAAAACATCTTTGCATCTTTGCCTTTATTTCTTAAATCAGTGGCACATTCTTTTGAGTGTGCTTTTTAAATGGTAAATTTTTATCCACTGTGAGTAGATTCGGTTTCTGAAAATATATTAAAGTCATGTGACTCCTAGTTTAAAGTAGGCAAAAAGAACTGAGCAAAATCTTTTTCATTAGTGATTCACTAGAAATATAAAGTTTTATACAATAAAATATCAATTAGGTAAGGGTAAATATATCAGTACTATTAGAAAAACTGCTCAAAGAGCTTCAAATGGCCTCATCTAGCACAGTATTTTCATTAGTCTGTTAATCTGGTAAATGAGTATTACATAGGGTGTCCCAAAAGTCACTGTACATAGGGAAAATGGAAAATTGTAGCTATTTTAAATATACCTTTATTTATAAAATATCCATTACAAAATTTTTCCTAAATTTTGGGACACCCTGTAGTATCATTGTATCGATTTGGATTTCCTGTGGTAAAAATAATTTGCATAGTTAGAAGTACTGGTTGTTCACTGGTTCTGTCCAGATAGATTAGATCATAAAATGTTAGTTCTAAGAGGACTTAGAGATGATCTGGTTCAGCCCCCTAATTTTTTTACTCGAAAAAACTGAGAATATAAGACTAGTAGTCTTCTCTTTCCCAGCTTCCACCATAGCAAATTTTAATTTCTGCACTTTTGTCAAGAAATGATCATATATGAGTTCCTTAGTACAGGTAGCACTATGCAAATTGTGGAGTATTTGGATGGGTAGATGGAAAGAAGGATAGATAGAAACAATCAAAACTTCACCCTCATGGAAATTAAAATTTTAAATTGCCCCAATTGACTTTCAAATAGAAATAAAGTTTACTGAGGAAGAGATTAAACTTTCTTCAGCACTGGTGGAGAATTGAGAATTCAAAGTTGGGCAGAAATGAAGGCACAGTGCATTGCTAATTTAGAGACAAATTCAGAAAAAAGTTCTGCCACGGAGTGAGAAATATATACATGTTTCTTCCTTCTTTCCAGGGGAATGGTTGGATAAATTAAAATTTTAAAAGATTAAATGTATCATTTGTCTAATAAACTTTGAACTTCTAATATTCTTGAGAGAAAAATGCTTGGTGGGCATCATTAAATATTAATCGCTAGAGATCAGTTTAGCAAAGAAATGTAGTTAGGTTGGAACAGCTTTTAAGAAACCAATTACAATGTGGGTTATGAAAAAGAAGTGGAAGAAGCCCAGGGAAAATATTAGAAAATACAAGTCCCTTCACCCAATGGAATTTTTGCAAAGAATTCTGGCTAACTACCTAGTTGAGACTTAAGATGGCAATGAAAATAGGCCCTTGTGCTAAGGATATGCTAAAAAGCAAAAGATGAGATTATTAAAATTGCAAAGAAACTTCTTTTCAACAAATATTTTATTTTTAATACTTAAGTATTTGATTGAAAGATAGGTAGGAATTAGAAAGAAATTCTCATTGTATAGTCACTTTGTAAAATTATGGAAATTCCATAAATTAAATATCAATACAGAATTGGAAGAGAGGAAAGTATTTTTTTCATATTTTGTTTTGTTGATTATTCAAAGGGATTATGAAATTGTTTTTATTTAGGGTAGTCTTGTAAGATTAATTTTGCTAGTTCTATTTCAAGGTAGTATGGGAGATTCTGACAATTTTTTAAAGACTTATAAAATGTTAAAATTTAAAGACATTAGAGTTCAACCTCCTCATTTTTCATATATGAAAAAAAGAAATGAAAGTGGTTGAATGAGGAGTAAGTCAGCAACTGTAGAGAAGGGATAACAGCCCTATATGTATATTCACCTATAAACAAAGTGTCAAAATATATGAAGCACATATATATGATAGAAATGTAAGAAAAAATATATGATAGAACTGTAAGGAAAATGAGACAAATCCATATTATAGTTGGAGATAGCAACATTCCTTTCTTAGTTGATAAAACAATAGGCGGAAATCAGTAAAGATACCGAAGACTTGAACAATACTATCAACCAACTAAACCTAACTGACACTTAAAGAATATTTCCCCCCAACAACAGCTAGTAACACATATTTTTCAAGTGCACATTGGACATTTTCCAGGATAAAATATATCCTGGGTGATAATACAAATCTCAATAAATTTAGGATTTAATTTGTTGGGTTATTTGTATTTTTCTTAATTTTTCTTGTATTTTCCAAATTTGCTAAGAATGAAATATCAGTGCCATATTTTGACTATCATTTGTGAAAAAACTGGTCTTACCACAAAATATATAATTTTTTTCTGTAAACAGAAAAGATACAACTTCTGGTTTGATGCCAGTTGATTTTGTTTTAGAAATTTAAAATCATGCCTTTTAAGAAGAATGAATAGTATTCATATATTTCTGTGTACTTCATCCTTCCACTGGTAGGCACATTTTGAGGCCATCATTACACCATCTGTTCCAACAAGGTGCCCACACCTACCTCTCTACTCCTGTCCTCTCACTCTCTCAGTTCAGGTGTCAGTGGGCAAAATGTGTGTTTGTTTCCCTTATTTTTTTCTTTCTCTCTTATTGCCCATAAGGATCAAAGCATCTTTTAGTGGGTAACCATTCATTATGCTTTTCTCTTTCATCCTTCATATGGAAACCATGATTCAGTGGAAATTTCTAGCACTGATTGAGGGCATATCCCTCTTTTTCATTTATGCATCTTCCGTCTCCACCCTGGCCTTTAGTGTGTCACATCTGAGCTACAACAGCCAGCTCACCTGCCTCTAGTTGCTGCGTGTCAACTCCTTCTGAACAAGTCTTTGGAATACATTTGGGACGCAATGTATATCCTTTGCTTTCAGAGATCCTCAAATTACGGCCCGTGGGCCACATGCGGGTGTTTTTGCCCATTTGTTTTTTTACTTCAAAATAAGGTATGTGCAATGTGCATAGGAATTTGTTCATAGTTTTTTTTAAACTGTAGTCTGGCCCTCCAATGGTCTGAGGGACAGTGAACTGGCCCCCTGTTTAAAAAGTTTGAGGACCCCTGTCCTACAGTGAATGACTTCAAGTTTCTAATGAAATCCCCATAACTGGAGAGAATTAAAAACCACTTGGTTAAAAACTGCAGGGTTTTCATCTTAAATCTTTTAACCTAATCTCCCTTTTGGTACATGAAGGCTAATGATCTTGAACCATCTGAGGATTATGCCTGTAGCTCAGAATAAATGGGCCTTTTACAAATACATACAAGATTTTTTTTGGCCTTTTTTTTAAGAGTTAGAGTCTGCCTCTGTCACCAGGCTAGAGTGCAATGGCCAGATCATAGCCTACTGTAACACTTCAACTTCCTGTGCTCAAGTGATCCTCCCCTGCTTCAGCTTCCTGTGTAACTGGGACTACAAGCACACACCACTTATCTGGGCCATCACTGCCTGGCTGCCCTCTCTCTCCTTTCTCCTCCCCTTCCACTTTTCCATACTCCACCCATAAGTTTTCACCTGGCTCATTCATTGATTCATACTAAGCATTCAAATATTGCCTTAAATATCACTTCCCACAGTGGTTTTCTCCAGTCGCCAAATCTAACTTTTGGTCCTTCCTGTTACTTCCTGTTCTTGTGGCACTTAGTATAGTTTTTAATTATCTCAAGTATTGTACAGTTTGTTTAATGCCTTTCTGTTCTTCAAGCCCTAAGGTTTCCTGATCATATACCCCAATGTCTTGTTTGCTTTTTGCCTAGCACATAGTAGGTACCAAACAAGTTTATTGTTGAATGAATGAATGAGTGGAAAGAAGGAAAAACAAGAATTATAATAAACAATGACATGACATTCATGAGAAAAAAATTGTAGTTTTACTGTTTCTCAGAGAAAAGTATATTAAAGCACCTATTTTTAATCTATTAGTTAAATCATTTAAAGTTATAATTCTCATTTTCAGCTAAGATTTGGGGAGAAGGACACATTCATATAATACCTGAGGACAGGAATCTTTTCATGTTCATTTTTGTTTATTAAATATTTGTTAAATGAGTAAGAAGATTAATATAATCATTGTGGAAAGCAGTCTAGCTAAATGTATTTGAAACATCAAATTGTTTTTATCGACCCAGTATTTCTCCCTAAGAATTTGTCAAAGGAATAATCCTAAATATGGAAAAGGTTATATATTTAAAGGTATTTCTCAAAGTGTTATTTATAGCAGTAAAACACTAGAAGCCACCTAAATGCCAAGTAAAACAATGGCTGAGTAAAGCATAGTATATCCACTGCTGTGATCCCCAAACCCCAGGCCATGGACCGCTACCAGTCCGAGACCCGTTAGGGGCTGGGCTGCAGAGCTCCACGGTCACCCCCTTGCCACCCTGCCCACACTCCCTGTCCGTGGAAAAATTGTTTTCCATGAAACTTAGGATGGGGAGGGTGGGGTGCACAGCAGGAGGTAACCAACAGGCAAGCAAAGCTTCATCTGTATTTATAGCCGCTCCCAGTTGCTTGCATCACAGCCTGAGCTCCGCCTCCCCACCGCCCCCTACTGTCTGTGGAAAAATTGTCTTCCATGAAGCCAAACCGGTCCCTGGTGTCAAAAAGGTTGGAGAGCACTGCACTATAGTGTATGAATAACCCATAAAGTAAAGATTAGGATAATTTAATGACTTCAAAATGTTTATAGTACAAATGTAAATAAATGAAGAGCACAAAGTTTTATAACTATGTTTATAAATCCTATCTCTAGAGGGGAAAAAGACTGGAAGGAAATATGTCGCTGCTATGGCAACGAGTGATTTTTCTTTTTCATATACTCTTTAGTATGCACATATTTTATTTTTTACAAAGATTATAATTGTATTAAATTGTGCATGTATAACATAGCTTGTGTATTAAGATTTAATTTCAGCTTTAGCACATTTAAATGAGTCTCAGTCCTTAATATTTTACAATCATTGACCTGAAATGCCATGCTTTCTTTCTTAGGATGACAGAACCTCTATGGGAGGTTCCTACACTCGTGAGTTAGATCTCTCATCCTCCTGGCAGGACCGTAGTCACTTCCTGTCTAGTCCACGATTTTCACACTTGAACTGTAAGTAATGAAGTCCTGTACCAGTTTTTAAATTGGATTTAAAAAAATACGGCACACAGAAAAGTGAAAGTTTAAGGCTGGTGACATGGTAGTAATAGTCATGTTATAAGTCTGAGAAAATTCTTATGAATCATACAAATAATGCTCAAGTATATTTATATTATGTAATTTACTAAAAAATATATGGAATCTCATCTTTTTAGACCTTATACTTCTCAGAAAAACAATACGTCACTCAAGGTGAAAATCCTAATTAAGCAAATTTTTAATTTTAACTATGGATGAGTGAGTAAAGAAAGTTATAATAAAATTTGAGTCATCAAAAAGCAGAAAATCTTTGCATATAACTGTTCAGAAATGTGTAATCTTATACAAAGAATAAGAATGCTTGCTAGATTTCACCCTGAATACTCTGTAACTCTTGCTAAGATGTCATCAACAGTATCAACAAGGTATGCATCCATTGGCCCAGGGTGCCATCCCCCACCATCTGTCCCCTTTTCTTCCCTCCAATATTTGTTCTTCACATTTCAGCTTTTATGTTATATACTTAAAGAGACTTCAGAACATACAGTTCTAAATGTGGTCTCTGTTATGAGTACCCACAGTGTGCTATACATGTTTCCTTTGACACTTTCTTCAGAATAGTAATTATAGAGTTATTTGTTATTTGAGTGGCTTTTTGTTCCCTAATTCTTCTCTCCACCAAAGAGTGAACTCCATGAGGATAGGGACAATGCCTGTTATGTTCACCACTGTGTCCTCAGCACTCTACATAGTACTTGGCACATAGTAAATACTCAGTTAATATTCAAATAATATTAGATGAATGCATGATATATGAGTTTTTTTTAATCCAGTTTTATCTAAACTATGGGGAGTAGAATGTTACTTAATGGATTCTTATTTAGATGATATTTTAGTTCTTCAGTTTACCATGGGCCTGGAGGGTTATACATTAAATTTGATGATTCTGTCATTTAAAATAGCTAGATTGGTATAAAATAAAATGCCAAAATGAGCCACAAGGAAGTAGGTCAAATCCAAAGGTGATAAGTCCCATTTTTGCTGATTTATATTCATGGATTCATTGAATAAATATTTATCAGTTTCTGATAAATGGTTTGGTTTTTATTATTTCATGATTATTTTATTCGAAATGCTAAGCATTTTCTCTTTCCTGTCTTAATCATTTTACCAAGTGATTTTGTATCTGCATAAGCCCTCTGCTGTCCTAATCTGGCAGGCACCCTTCAATATGGGTCATATCTCAAGTTGGCTATGGCACCTCAGAATCTAATATATACATAGGCCAATTTTTTTTGTCACTCATGTTAAGCCAAGGAAAAATTTCACCAGGTCTGTTTAATATATAAATAAATATGGAGGAGGGTTAAGGAGTAGGCACCATGAAATATCAGAATATCCCACTCAATAAGACATTCAAGAGCCTGGAGAATGCAGGTCCTGTGTTCTCCTGCAATTTAATTTTGCCATTATGACTTTCATAGGCTCCCTAGAAGGGCATCTAGAAGGCAGTGGTTTGAAGACATTAAATGGAAAACATCAGGGTTTTTGGAATTGTATTTAATATTATGATAAACAGTGAAAGAAACTATATTTAGCTTTCTAGTCTAGCATTTTATGACCAGCTGTGATCGTTAATTAAGAAATATTTCTCACAGGCAGCCATAGGTTTCTATATAAATATATTGGCTCAAAAGGAAATAAAGGTAAATAAGAATAGGAAAAATTATCATTGAGATATTTTGAATAAGAAACCACTTACTATAGTTTATATTGTAAAATCTGACTGAAAAATTTGGCTTAACAAGTAAAACTGTTTATTACTTATTTACTTAATTTATTAATTAATTCATAGCCTTATGTTTTATCATTCTTCTTATTTACAAATTTGTGTTATAATTTTCCTCTTGGGCCTATCCCCGTATTTTCAAGAATACTTTTAAAAATTTAGTCATAGCTACTTTATCATTAATTATTTTTAAGTAATTAAACTCATTTCTAAAAGTCATATTTATTCTTATTTGCTTTTCTGATGAGCCTTGAATTTCCCATTTGTCTTAAATAATAGTATATTATAAGTGAGAAAAATTAGGATCACCCTGAATACTTCATTTTTATAGCATAATTTTGGCTTACTTATAGAAATTGCCCTGCTATTTCTCTTTAATTTCCCTTTAAACTTCTAAAATTAAAAGAGAGAGAGAGAGAGAGAGATGTTGGGACCAACAAAGAGAAAAACGGAACCTATAGCAAATGGATAATATAAGAAGCAGAAGATGTTTTTTAAAAAATTATTAATACCCTCAGAGAGATAAGAAAAAAATATTATGTCCATTAACTTTAATAAGACCAAGATACCATGAAAAACAAACACAAAATAAGAGGGTTCAGAATTTTAAAATATGATCGCCATAAAGAAAAAAGAAAACCAGAAAGCTGGAAAACAAAGTTGAAAAAACTAGGAAAAGAGGAGAAGAAAAAGAATGGGACAATAGAGAGGAAAGATTTTTAGAAAATCAATTTAGTAGGGACGATACAGGATCAATGAGTTCTGGAATGAGAGAACAAGTAGGACAGGTGAGCAGGAGTGGTCAGATTAAAAGGGCCCACCCAACGATTTCCTACTTGCAGAGCTGTCATCCTACCCCTCTTTTCCACCCTCTGCCTATGTTGGTAAGTCTTGTTTCCCAAATCCTGTACCTCTCTCTTTCTTGTTTCACTTCATTCTTTTGTATGAGCACATCAGAGAAAGGGAGGTAAATATTTTCAGTTTTTGTATTTCTAAAAATAGACTTTTTCCATTCACATTTGACTGAGCCTTTGGCTGGCTGTAAAATTCTAAGTTGAAAATGAGATTCCTTCTGAAGTCTTTGAACAATTATCCTCTAAAATCCACCGTGGTTGCTGAAAAATCATAGATAGGCACAGACTCTCATTCCTTTGAAGTCATCCTCTCCACTCGCTCTTTACCCTACCACACCCTTCCTACCCTTGACCTCAGGAACTTTTAAGATCTTCTCTTTAACCTCAATAAGTCTGAGATACTGTGCCTCATTGTGAGTCTTGTTTTATTTATTTTTCTCGCTACTTGTTGGATGGGCCTTTTTAATCTGGACATTCATGTTCTTCACTTCTCCCATACTAAAAAAAGAATGGAGAAAGATTCTATCAGAAAATCTTTAGGAAACAAACAAAAAAACTGATAGATTATCTGATACAGTTAAGCACCTAGAAAAAAAAAGACTACTAATAGACATATGGCAGATCTAATTGAATAATTAGAAACAATTAAGACAGTCACAGAGAAAGAGCAGACAAAAAAATAAAAGAAAAATTTAAAAAGGGTCAATTAATAAGCCTGGGGGAAAAATGAACAAAAAAAGAAACATTGTCATAGTGTACCTATTAGGTTTGTGTGAGCCATGCTTACATAGTCATAATAATATAAACATTCACTACAGACATAACTAAAAGTTCAGAAGTAACTATATTGGGAGGATGAGGTGAGGAGGTGTGGGTGGGTGTGGATAATGTCTAAAAATGATAAATCAGAAAATAGCAATATAGGCTTTTTTTACATAAATGAAATACAGAAAATAAAGCTAAAGGAGTTGATTGTGACTCTCTTTTGGGGCGTAGGATTATGGGATTTGGAGGGGTGGGGCAAGAGACTCCTGTTTTTCTTTGTAACCCTCTGGTACTATTTGATATGTATATGTACACTTTGGCTAAAACTGTTTCTTATGAAGATAAATGCTACTAATAAAACCCCAACTTTTATCTCTGACCAGCAATTTCATAATTTTCTTGTTAATTTCTGAATGAAACATGAAACTGGGGTTTGGAATTTAGAGCAACTTAGACCTGTATAGGGACTTGGGGAGTAGATAACCATAGGTCCTTAGTCAGACATGAGTTTCTAGGCCCACAGAACAGGCAATTTCTTACTCTAGTTGGAATCTGTACTGAATGAGGCCTTTCGTCTAAGCTGTAGATGCTAAGGCATTCATTCTGCTGACTTAGATGCCCTGTCAAACTGTGACCAAACTCAAGCATAGAATCACTGACCATGGAAAAAACAAAGGAAATGGGAAAATACTGCATAATTTGTGGTCTCTGAAATGATCCAGCATTAATGAAAGTTTGTTTTAAGAAGTAATTTATGTCAGCTTTGTGTAGTTCAGGTCAATTCAAGAAAAGGTAGATTCCTTCTGCCAGGAAGAAGGGAAGAAATGTATAAATTGTAAGCTTATATTACCATTGGAAATAGGAACACAGAAATCCATTATTTAAAACCATGATCACTACCAAATTTATCCTGGCTGGCTAGATGTTATGGCCGTGAGTCAGGGCACTCTTTTAGAAGACTTGGATTCCATTACCTTCAGCCTGTAGACAGTGGGGGCTTAGTAAGAGAGAGACGCATAATGTCAGCTTTTGAAGCTGTCATTTTTGTTTTTTATAAGTAGCAACTGACCACTAGTCTCCATGTATAGCTCCTTTTAGACTAAAGGAACACAACTCCAGGACAGGGCCATCACTCCTGGGGCTTTGACAGGACCAGCCTTGAGTGAAGTCTGTAGTAATCTGATGACTTCTAGAAATCTCTAGTCCTTTGAGACTAAAATGCTTAATCTTTGTGGAGTTGGTGTCTCCAAACCAAATTTTAAAAATAAATGCAGATTGCAAATTTTCTGTAAATCTAAAACAGTTCTAAAAAAAAATGTTTATTAAAATAAATAAGCCTAAAAAGAAAGTACTATGATTTTTCATGGGAAAATAATGTTATCTAAGGATTATTATAGAAGTTGGAAAGGAATCTTACATATTATTTTAATTTGATACTCTTAGGGAAGCAAATTAATAAAAGTTGCTTTAAAAAACCATTTTACTTCCTTACCTCAGTTTACATTTCTATAAAAAGAAAAGTTAGTATTCTCAATTTGTGTTTTGAGGTGCCTCTAAGTTCCTTGGGTGAAAAATAATTTATCCACAGCAAGAATAGCATACTATTTCCACTTCCATGTTATACTCCAAGGTCCACCTGGCTAACTGTGAATAGAAATTTCATATGTAGTCTTTTCTCAAACTTGTAGGATAAAATGCCAAAGACTAATGGCAATAAAAATGTTGGGGCACTAATAAGGCAAGAAAATTGTTTCTTGTCCATTAAAGGATTTAATTCCATGAGGCACAGTAACTACGTTTCAGGTATTTTTCACTGATCAATTTAGATGCCACATATTGTTAAATAATTGAGTTCTGATTATTGCAATTTAACAAGGTACTCTCTAGATGCTCTCGAGAAAGCAGCTATAAAATTCTCAGTTGACTATCTTTTAACTTTTTCAACCAATATTTAGTAAGAGGCCATGTACTGTGCTTTGTGTTCAGTTCTGGAGGAGACCATAGTGAACAAAACAGGCAAGGTCACCTCGTCTCATGGAAAAACAGGTAGTGAGCAAGTAAACATACGCGTTAAAGTGGCAAATTGGTGCTATAAAGGTGAAATGATGGAAGGTACCTGTACAGGACCACTTCTTTAGATTGACAATCAGGGGATGCCTCTCTGAGAGGTGACAACTCAGCTGAAACCTGAATAGCAAGAAGAACCAGCTGAGTCAAAATTGGGTAGGAAAAGTCTTCCTGAAAACAGAAGCAGAAAATACAAAAGCTCCAAAGAGAGGGACATCATCAACTAGAGAGGTGGCTGCCTAGCAAGTGAGCGAGTGAATGAGTGTGGCCATAGTCAGATGTTTGGATTTTATTCTAAGTTATGCAAGAGAGTGGGTTATGCAGGAGAGTGACAATCTGATTTACTGTTTAGAAGGAAAATTCTGGTTGTGATGTGGACAAAGGATCATAAGGGAGCAAGATAAAAAACAGGAAGGGAGATAACGGTGACCTGGGCTGGGGCAATAGTAATGGAGATTGTGCGAATTAGGACTCAGGTGAAATTGGATGGTAGAATCATCAGAGCTTACTCTTAAATTGGGTGGATGGATCAGGCAGAACAAAGGAAGAGAGGAAATCTGTTTGAGAAACTGAGCAGATGGATATGTATATGTCCTTTTCTATAAGGAGAAGAGTAAGGAATAAGCAGGCATCAGAGAGTAGAAATCAGGAGGGAAGATTTCACATGGACATTTCGATATAGGTGTCTGGAGCTCAGAAGACAGAGAAGAGGTAGTAGAAAAACAGTAAACTCAGATTCCAGATTTATTCTCAGCAGACTAGAGGATGAGACAAACAGGATTCCATAAAAAGGAGGCCCTTAAGATTTCTCCCTTTAAATGTGTGCGTGTGTGGTTTATATCATTGTATTTGGGAAATGTAGTAAAATAATTTTGCTTATTCTTACATTGAAGGTCTGTTAGTCCACGTAAAGTTTAATTATAGAAAACTAAATCAAATACCATGATTTATTAACTACTCTCTGCAAAATTAATTTGTTAGCCCAGGTTTTATATTCACCTAGGTTTATTTTTCTCTTTCCTCTCACCTTGCCAGCATATTCCAAAAGAAATGTTGCTCCAGATTCAGCTTCAATCAAGGAAGATGCCACAAGTTTACCAATGAATGGAACAAGTCCACAATCCAAAAATGAGGAATATGAGAGCTGAAAAAGCAAACTTAGTTCCTTTACATGAGTGTTTTACAAATAATAGCATCTGTTCTTGGAGCAGTTCAGCCCAGATTATCTAACAGACAAACCTGCAGTTTCGGCTCTTCAGTATTGCCAAGCACTGACTAAAATGATGATATGGTGGTCTTTGTAAATGATATGAGTTAAACCAATCCAAATGATATCAGCTCATGAATGACATGCAGCTAATTTATCAGCAGCTTATATGAGCACAGAAAGAATGATGTTTTTCACTTTGCAATTTCCTTTGTAAGTGTAGTCAGTCACATTTCCTGACCAAAATTTGGATTTATAATTGAGGCCTTTCAAAAATTACTGGCTAAAAAAAGGAGGAAAATGAGATCCCCTTGAGGCAAAAGTGGCCAGCACTTTAGATTCAGGGAGCATTTATATACAATTGATTTTTAAAAAATGCATTCTCCCTAATAAATTATCATGTGTTATAACATGTCATGGAGATATGCATATATAATATTAGACAGTCCACTTTATAAATGCTCAGGATTGTTACATCCATCATCTCAGCAGTCTATTACTACATGCGGTAGCTTAAAATCATTTCCAATCATCCATTTTTAATAGCAATAAAGAATTTATAAATGATATCTGAATTGTAGAGCATTGTAAAGAATTCATAGCACAATTTATTTATTTATCTTTGGGTGGCCAAATATCCCACTATGATGACTTCCGTCATAATCTGCACCGTCTTTGGTTTACTGTGATTGAAATCACAGCACCAAACTCCTGAGTCCATGAGATTTGCTCTGCAAGGGTTCTTGTATAATTCGGTACTGTCTACTTCTAGCATCCCAGCTTTTCTGGACATCAAACTGTTTTTGAGAATTATTCCCTTTACACGCTGATCTACCAATGGAGAAAGATTTATGTTAAATGCTAAAGAATGGTAAACTTCCGGGAACTGAATCCTATTGGGCTATTGTGGGAAGATTGTGCACAGAAACAAGGACAATAAAGCAATACCTTTGTAATGTGCATCATATTTTGTGTTTGTCAAAGTATATTTGCATGTTAGATTTCTCGTATTTCATAAAGATGCTTCTATTTGCACTCAAGATATATTTTCCTAACTTGCCATATTTGGAGGTACAGAAGAAGAAATGGCATTCTCTCTCTGTGAACTTGAATGCAACTGTTACTTAGGGATGTTTCATATAAAAAATTACATAACACAAGCTATATAATCTCTGAGAGTATAGCCATGCATTTTATCATGTATTCATTCCAACCACCATCCCCCCTTCACCTCTGTTTTTCTTGGTTCCTAGTATATACTAGTCATTGTGTGAAGAGGAAAAAAAGAGATATAAAAACAAGTATGCATGTCCCAAAGTTTGTTTGACATTAGGAATTACATGAAAAAAGAGGTGATGTGTTCATGCTAACTGGAAAAATTCTGGATTAGACAACATTAAACAGGTTTGGTTTTCTTTTATCTAACTTAAGGACTTCTCAGAGCTGTGTAATGTGCTAATTAAGCATCATGAGATTTTAGTGGAAGTCTCCCTTTTGAAGGAATGGCTCACAATCCTGATGTTCCATATAACCTGTATCACCCTAAGATAATGTTTAGGGTATTGAGAAATTATTGCCATGGATGTTTTGACCAACACCATGATATTTTAGTCTTTGGACCTAAATAATTAACAGTAAGTAAGTAAGTAAGTAAATAAATAAATAAATAAGGTAGAAAATTAACAGGTTTTACTTAAATCCTAAGGATAAAAGTTAAATAGCTTTTCCCTTTATGTATTTGTAGGGACTTCAGCCCATTCTGTTTAATAGGAATTGATCTAAACCATTACTAGAGCATCTGTGGTCATTAAAAAAAATTAAACCAAGCCATTTAGACCTAAAAGTTTAAAGTAACTGAAATTATTTACTTAGAAAATCCTTGAAAACATATTAGCTTGTGATTTTATAACAGAATGGAGAGGACTCTTTTGAAAGACGTTTTCAAATTTGAAAAAAAAAAAAAGTCATTATATCATGTTATTGAATGCCCTGTGCTACTATTAGATGAATGAAGGTGTCTGACTTTAAATACGGAACACACAAGAACTTCAAAGGCAAAGGCAACTTTTTGTGAGCAACGAGTTTGTCAAAATTCCTTGGCCCTCTGTTTATATGGAATTAAATCCAAGAACCTGTCTCCTCCGAGAATTTTTTCTATCTCTTGCAGTTACCATAAGCTTGAGTTGGAAGTCAAAAAGAATGCTAAGGAAACACTAATAGTTTGATTTATACATTTCAAAACCAACAACTTCTTTTCCTTTACTCACCCCTTTGGCAGGATGGCCTCAATTACGTGTGATATCGGCCCCATTTGAGTCCACCATGTTGCTTGTAGCACTGGGACATCGGAAAGGGTAAACCTTATTTTGCAATAAGCCTGGTCCAAGACTTAATTTGAAGACTGACCTTTTTGGTTTAATAATTTTGATTCTTCTGGCCATCTTTCTCCCTAAACACACTAAACTTCCATTGAAGTTGCTGAAGGCCACAGACAGGAGAAACACAGCTGGGAGGAATCTGGCTTGATGTTTTTCCCATTGGCTAAGGTCATATTATTTCCTTGACTAATGTCTGACTTGAAGGTTGAAAACCAATTGGTTATATAACATTTTATGCACCCAGTTTCCCAGAACTTCTAGTTTTACTTTCTTATTGTTACAATTTAACTACATATTTTTACTGAAAAAGAGATAGAATCAATAGCTTAATAAAATAGTATGCATATAGCATTTAGATTTAAAGGTTACATGTATAAAAAGTGCCTACGTATGTAATTAAGAAAACAATTAATGCTACTTTTCTTCAGTTCTTTCCTTTTAGGTATGATAAATGCACTTTTTATTTTGAATCTCAATTGAATGGTATGCAGAGTATATTTAGAGTCACAGTAATTGGTAAATTTTCTCTAGTCTTTATTGAATTGTATAGTTAAATAACAAAGAGTGCTTTAAATGGGACTAAATTCTTAAATATAATGAGGTGGTATATTTACTTAGCAAACCTTTTTTTTTAGGAAGGCATAAATACCTCAAATTGTTTTACTCAGGATTTGTGCTTATTATAAACACAACTACGCATCATATGGTAGCCAAGAATGTGAATGATCATTGAGTAATTTTCCAAGATTCCTACACTCCCCTCCCCAAAGAAACTGTCCCAGTATTTTTTCTCAATTTAAAACAAAACAAAACAGAAAATTTGTGATTTTCATGGCCTTCAAATGAGGAAGCTGTTCTCACGAAAGCATCTGGTTTTCTTGGATCCAAACTAAACTATGAACCTTAGCTGGCAACTCAATTTGGGGAAGTTTGTATATAAAGGCATTTCATGCACCAAAGTATGATATAAAAATAGTTACATTTTTTAACTTTTAAGCTCTCAAATGTTTAGCAAGAGAAACATATCAACTTATCCCTATTTGAGAAAAGAAATTTAAAACATGAAAGATTCCATTTAGTTTCATTTCTGTATAAAACAGGACACATTTAAGGCTAGAAGAAACACATTGAGAAGCAGAACTTCTTTTTTTTTTTTGTCAGACAGAGTCTCACTTGCCCCAGGTAGAGTGCAGTGGTGTCATCATTGTTCACTGCAACTTCAATCTTCTGGGCTCAAGTAATCCTCCTGCCTCAGCCTCCCACATAGCTGGGACTACAGGCATCTGCTACCACGCCCAGCTAATTTTTTTTTTTTTTTTTTTTTTTAATATTTGGTAGAGATGGGGTGTCACTTTTGCTGAGGCTGGTCTTTGAACTCCTGACCTCAAGGCATCCTCCCACCTTGGCTTCCCAGAGTGCTAGGATTACAGGTATGAACCACTGTGCCCAGTGAGAAGCAGAACTTTAGATTCCAAGCCCCTAGATGAATTTGAGAGAAGTAACCCTTGCTTTTGATTGTAAACCAGTATGCTCTGCTTTGGTAAGATGAGCCCCATCTTCAACTTCTAACCTCTGTCTGGGGTTTGTAGCCCCTGCATTTCTTTTCAGGAGTACCGAATTAGAGAAGGATATTTATGTCACATGTGTTTGGCTACTCTTATGGCTGAGGCCCTCGGAATACTTCTGTGGCTGGGCATCTTTTCTTCCTTAACATAGCTGGACTCCAACGTGAGTGCAAAGACCTGTGATAATTGGGGATGTGAACTTGCTCACCATGCTCTCTACAGGGATACACTGGATTTCTAAATCTAGCAACGTGTTAGCTGCTTTTCAGGAGGATGGTTGAAACAATATATAATCTGATGACCTCCACCTTTTGTAATGTAGAACCCTATGTTTTTGAGCATATAAATGGGAGCATAGAAAACAATATGCCACTACAGTCAAAATAGAGCCATGCAATATTTATCACCTATACTTCTCACAATAACTTGCTATATGAAGTTGCACAATTGGCATTCTCTGGGATGAATGCTCTTTTTCTCAAACTGTCAGATGCTAGATTCTGCCCAATCTGTCTTCTGTCCACTCTCCATAAGTCCCCACAACGTAATACCCTCTCATGTTTTATTCTTTCCGTAAAGCATTTTGACTGGCATTATTTAAATAAAAATAAAAGTTAGAATTTATCCTTGGATATTAGAGCTCTGTGTCATCTTAGCTATATACTTCACTGGAAATAAAAGATCAGAATACTGGCTTAAAGCAATATTTTTTTAAACTAAATTAGTGGACACTAAAACTACCAACAGTTCAGATGTTACAATTTAAAAGTAAGAAAATATTCTGAGGGAAAGTAGGATATTATATGTTCCTTAGTCACTAATTGACAGTTTCCTTAAATTCTGATTTAATATTTTTTTAAATCATACTTGCTTTAAAATAAAAACCGCCAAGCCAAATTTTTATAGTATCAGGTTTTCCATTAAATTACAGTTTCCTTTTGTTTTTTTTTACAAATTTTTCAATTAAGAGTCAGGTGTACTTGTGAGTCATTTGAAGCCACCAAGAGTTCAAATGGGCTTTTAAAAGCCCAGGATACTTAGCCAACAATGTGAAAACTTGTACTACTTATACTATATTTCTATTGGAAATATTTCCTCCCTCCCAGTGTCTCTCCTCATTTTCTTTCTCTGGTATCTAGTCATCCCCTCAAAGATCTTTAGAAGCAACTTTTTTTTTTTTTTTTTTT